ATCCACATGCCAGATGCGCCGCAGCTCTCGGCAAAGGGGAGCGTACTTTGTTATTTTTTCGGCGATTTTTGTGGGAACATTCTGGTCCAATGGAACACTGACATCCATCAGCAGCACCTGTGTGCTGGACCGCAACACCAGGTCCGGACGGTTGTGGCGCACTTGCGTATCCGTTGGGATATTGAACTCCCACAGGAGCTTCATGTCAAGATTCTCGGTGACAGGCACAAGATGATGCTTCAGCGGGTTGCTTCCCGGCCTACCCAGACCATGCCGCTTGCATAGTGCCCAATGCACCAACTTGGCGAGCGTGTCATGCCGTTCGATATACAGTGTTTTGGCTAGGGCTGGGCAACAGGCCACAATGTGATCAACTGTTTCTCCGCGAGTGCCGCAAACTCGACAAATGTCCACAACGTCTCCCCGTCCAATGACCGTGACCTGATAGTGCCTGGTCGCAATGGCCTGATCCTGTACAGCCAACAAGAGTCCCTCTGTCGCAGGCCTGATCGTTGGCGATTTCAGCCAGCGAAAACTCAAGCTCAGGTCCAAGCCAGCATCAGAAGCTCGTCTCCAGAACTGGCCATGGAGAGGCTTACCTTGGATAACGGCCAGGCACCGGAGAGCAACGGCCTTCTTGACAATGACTTTTGTGGCAGTCTCCAAGTCGGGTAGGTCAAGTTCACCCAGAAGTCTGGAGGCTTGACGTGTAACTGATTTTGACGGTGCCACATCATTGTCGTGATGGCGCTTAACAGCAGCCAACAGTGGCACGTTTAGGTGGGCTTGTAGGTACCGCGCCACCCGGACACGGGTTCTATCCAGGAGGTCCCGGAATGATAGAATTCCTCGACCACCCATGTCACGAGGCAGGTGGACCCTGGCGGCAGAGTCCTTGGGGTGGCGGGCGTGTTCTTTAAACAGTGCTTGGCGGGTCTGTCGGTCGAGTTCCTCTATCTCTGCCTTTGTCCACTCGACGATGCACAGAGAGTAGAGGATGACTGGAATGGCAAAGGTGTTGATGGCTTTGACCAAGTTCCTGGCGTTCAATTGAGACGAGCATATCAATTGAAGGCGGCGGCCGAACTCAGACTTTGCTGTGGTCTTCAATTCGGTGGCGTGAAAATGTGCTGATTCTGGGACACCAAGGTACCTGTAGGACTCCTCCGCCTGCAGCTTAGCAATAGCGTGACCCTGGAGTGTCTGGAGAGCAGACTGCTGATCGCTCTGGGCTCTCCCCCGTTTCAAAGTGAGCCAGCTAGACTTTGACGGGTTGAAATGCATACCAATGCAGTCGCCCATTGACTCCACAACATTGGTCATGGAGAGCAGATTATTGTCGTTTCGGGCGAAGAGCTTCATGTCGTCCATGTACCACAGGTGCGATACAGGGCACACCTGGGCCGGTGGGCCACAGCGGTAGCCAAGACCCGTCCTGGTCAACTCGCCACTGATCGGATTTAGAGACAGGCAAAATAGCAGTGGAGAAAGGGAATCGCCCTGGAAAATGCCACGGTGGATAGATATTGGGCGACTGAATGCACGGGGTGTTTGACCAGGCAGTACCATTTGCGTTCTCCAATGATCCATCATGCTTGAGATGCATGAGACAAGATTGTCTGCAAAGCGGTAGATCAACAGGCATCTCCGGATCCACTGGTGAGACAGGCTATCGAAGGCTTTGCGGAAGTCCACCCAGCACGTCGAAAGATTCCGACAACGGGATGCTGCATCCTCTAGAACCATCTTGTCGATCATTAGTTGGTCAAGGCATCCACCACGCCCTGGAGTACAGCCAACTTGCTCATCTGCAAAGATATCCTCTGAAGATAAATGGCGCCACATGGCAGCAGCGAGTAAGTATTAATATTATTATTATTATTATTATTATTATTATTATTATTATTATTATTATAGCGTAACTTGTAGCTCCTTGGTCTTTCTCTTTAACAGTCACGTAACACCCTCTCAGCTGGCTCTCTCGCATAGGGTCCACGTTGCACTTGTTCCTTACGTTACCCATACCACAGCTGATACGCTGGCCTTGTCACTGTTTGTGCATGCGACCAGGTACTTGCAAACACAACCGGGAGCTGCGCACCTTCACGGACGTCAGCTTATACAGTATGTATAAGTCAGCTGGCCTAAACTAAACTGCCTGTGCTTGAAGATTCTACTTTGAAGCATTTGTTGTTTCACGCTTGCTTGCTTCTCTGGCTCGCTGTTTCCTCACAAACTAGCTCTCTGCCAGAATTTTCCCCATCCCAAACCCGCCCAACTTTAACGCTTTCTATGGTGCCAGACTCACCGCAAAAGCAACTCGTATCAATGTTACAAATAAATAGGGACTCACAACATGGAGGTATTTGTTAAGTGGCCTGCAAAGCACTCTTACTCCAGGTTACCAGCCCCACCGCATTCGTCCTACCATGCGGTTGTCAGGGTGTAAGCGTACCCGTGTTAGCAGCTTATCCACATTTGTCCTACCCTGTGGAAGCACGGTGTAAGCCAAACCTCTTTAGCTGCTCCTCCCACATTTGCCCTACCATGTGGAAGTGCGGTGTAAGCCTAATCTCTTAGCTGCCCCTTCCACATTGACCATGTGGAAGTGCGGTGTAAGCCTAACCTCTTTAGCTGCCCCTTCCACATTTGTCCTTCCATGTTGAAGCGCGATGTAAGCCTAACCTCTTAGCTGCCCCTTCCACATTTGTCCTACCATGTGGAAGTGCGGTGTAAGCCTAACCTCTTTAGCTGCCCCTTCCACATTTGTCCTACCATGTTGAAGCGCGGTGTAAGCCTAACCTCTTAGCTGCCCCTTCCACATTTGTCCTACCATGTGGAAGTGCGGTGTAAGCCTAACCTCTTTAGCTGCCCCTTCCCCATTTGTCCTACCATGTTGAAGCGCGGTGTAAGCCTAATCATTTCACCCACTGTGAGTCCCGATCTAGACCAAACCTGGTATTGAATGTCTGTGTGTGCAGTGGGATGTTTTAAATTACCTTCTCCGTCAGACATGATGACCAAACAAAACTGTTACTGTAAACAACGCTGAAAAAATGCAAACGAACGGGCTAGACAAATGTCGGAAATAGTTAATAATAATTAAAATTATTATTAACTATTTCCGACATTTGTCTAGCCCGTTCGTTTGCATTTTTTCAGCGTTGTTTACAGTAACAGTTTTGTTTGGTCGTCATGTCTGACGGAGAAGGTAATTTGGATGCACGATCCGCCAACTCAGGTAGTAGCCCCATGGAGCAGTTGCTCGAGCTCATGAAGCAGCAAATGCTAGCTTCGGAGCAGAGGGAGAAACAAATGCACAGATTGTTGCAGAGTTCCCTGGCAGATCGGTCTCCTCCAAGTCAGAGTTCTCCGAACACTACTACTAGTACTAACGTTAGTACTGCTAATCCATAATTATCCATACTAGTATTCACAAAGGCGTTGAACAGTTTTAATTTTAGACTATAGAAGTAAGAAATCACAGCGTTTTGATAATAATACCACAGCAATATGCATTTTGGTCAACTGTGTTGGCATTTGGGCTAGTTTCAACAGCCGCCCAATGGTCTGCTCTGTGGGCCATGCGATAAATTTGTTATCACATGGTTACTGCGGGCCGTATGGAATACTATTGCCCCGAGAGGTTAGCCCGAAGTCTATATTTGAAGTAAAATCATCGCAACCATGCGATAACATTATACTAATCTTGTAAAAGAACTTGCAGCTAAATGCGAGATAGGCACTAATTCGAGTCTTTATGAGTACCCTTATCGACACTTCAACTCCTTATAAGATAACTGAAAATCTCCAAAATAGCTCTTCTGTTGACGCAAAAGATATTTACTAACGGTGCTTACGTACTAACCGAATTCATTATAACCAGGGAGCACCTGTAGCTTCTTTTCCAGCGACGCACGAACGTTTTAGCGTGTTCACTTGCGTTAGTTAAGTTGGAGCATAATTTCTAAGACTTGAAGGAAAACATGTGCTGTCTGGATTTCGGTAACTTTAGAGAGATTTACAAGAAGGAGAAATCTTGAGAACTTCGAAGGTCGAAGCACCACTATAGCCCTGTAATCTTTCCACCAAATGTTTAACCTATAACACACAGACAGACCAGGTCTGTAGTTGTATACTTTATTTATAGTGGAAATCAAAACAAACGTATGCCTACTAACAGTGCACCTACTGCCTAAACCACGCACTACGATTGTTTCCACGTCAGTTTCAGCCAGGAGGTAACCATCAGATATAACGTAGGAGGGTACCAGGGTGGGCAATAGTGGACACAGATTTGCCAACGACATTCTAGATAGCCCGGCAGTGATCCGCGTTCTTGTCACTTGTTTCCACAGCCACAGACCACGTGACGCGCTGCCGGAGAAGAATCCCGTCCCGAACCATTCCGATAATAGAGAAGTTTATAGAGATCCACTGTCCCGATGGCGTTTGACTTTCTCACGGAGTCGCTGGAATGCACGTGCGAATGTCACTAGGGTATTGCCACAATTTGCCAGCGGGTTTCTTGCCAAACTCGTTCACGCTCACAAGGCCATCTGAATGCGTCGTTACTCGTTAGCCATATCCTTGTATCCTTTGAATAGGTTCATAATTGATTGTGGGTAGCAGTATCGGGCTGGAAAACACGTTCCCTGGCGGGACTCGAACTAGATACCTCTCGTACCTCAGTCATGTACCCCTTCAGTCAACCTTCTCCCCTGTGCTTGCTTGGTTGGAACTAAAAAGCCAGGGTGTCAGGGTGTCAGGGTGCCAGGGTGTCAGGGTGTCAGGGTGCCAGGGTGCCAGGGTGCCAGGGTGCCAGGGTGTCAGGGTGCCGGGGTGCCAGGGTGTCAGGGTGTCAGGGTGCCAGGGTGTCAGGGTGGGGTATAATATTTTTAAAATAAACCTGATTTGCGCGTTGCAATTCCTTTAAAACCTATTTGGGGCACTTTCCATCTTTCCTTTCCATTTCTTTAATAAGATGTTCCCAGATTTGGTTACCAGATTGAAGAATCTTTTGGAGATTCTGTTCGCTTACCGAAGCACCCGACAGTCCCGTTTACACACGTGCACATAAAGCCGGGTGTGAGGTTTGTGCAATAAAGGGCACACGGCTTCTCTTCCATGGAGCATTCATCAATATCTGCAAGAAATATAACCAGACTCGCACTAGTAACGTCGGTTGGTGGATAGGTACCAACTGAAGTAGACGAACAGATAGGCACGTTATCATTTCCCATTCAACAAGCAATGAGGTAACAGAAAGTTGGGCATGCAAGCAAATCAGGAAAATCAAATCGTTCCTTTCGAATGCTATTATTGCTGTCTGTTGTTGAACGCAATCCTCAGCACGGGCGCAGGAAAAACACCAAGGACCTCCTAAAACTTAAAGCAAAGAACAACACCTTGCGCTCATACCAAATTGTGCCTACCGGTGGCTACTTCCCCTACCTCGCCTTTTTTTATCAGGATGGGTCCAACACGTAATAAATAATAAAAACCACCAACAAAGAGTCATATTCAAAAGCAGACAGATCATTGCATGGCTGATCTTCGTACAAACTTGGGAACTGAGTTCACGCAGAAAAGTCAGACCCGCGACTATATAACCCACGGCACTTCAACACCCATTTTCTGTACATATCTTTGGAAAATGTAATGATAGTCCGCCTCCTCGAGAGTTCAACAGAAAAACGTTACCTGATCATAATTGGGTGTTTAGGAAGAGATGATTTGCTATTTTTCCGTGGAAGCCGGGGTGATTTCCACTATACAGTTTTTTATTATTATTTTTTTACTAGCAACCACAGCCCTACTAATAATCAGGGGAAGAGGGCAACTGAAGTGACACTGGACAACAAGACAAAGGTTGCCCGGGATACTGGCGAGTCAGTGTTAAATAACTCTTCCGATGAAGTACAGTACGACCAATGTTTTTGAGAATGCTCACCGTGGCATGTAGGCAGCTCAGTCCACTTTCCACTGGCCATGCATGTAACTGCTGTTGGCCCCAGTAAGCTGTCGTATCCACGGCGACACTCCACAGTGGCAGTTTGACCAATGGCACGCCTCTCTATATAGCCCACTGTTGACTGGTTCACAGCTGCACAATGTGTCACTGGTTGGGTAAGAAAACAGGAAAGTTGATATGGAGGGCAAGCAAAGAGTGGTGTTGAACAAGCACAGAATATCCATACATCCTGTACACACACCTTGTACACACTCTCTCTAACGGTCTCTAGGCTACACTGCAATTGATATACATTAGCTCAAATTTTCGGGCAAGGCCCATCATCAGGAATAAGTTTACTGTAGACAAAACAGGGGTTTATATATATGTGACAAGTACTAGTGGCCAAAGTGTGATGGTATAGCGTAAAATGTTGCAATACCACAGGAAGCGAGATGATAATTCTGTGTGATACGTATGAAGTGAAAATATAGTGCAGTGATAGTGCAGGATTACTAGCGTGAGTACAAAGCAGAAAAATACGCACTTCTAGCAACACTCACACACATACATACACACACACACACACAGTGCACAAATTCTTGCACAAATTATGGTAATGACAGACATATTTACACATCACCCAAAAGTCGCCAACCATTGTCACTGTTGCTGCCATAAAACAACTTCCTAATAGGCCTTTCCCACGACGGGACAAAGTCACGTGTGTTCGGGCTCGCGGGCGGATCAACAAGGCGATCATCAAATGGCGGGAAATCTGAATCCGTAGACCCGACGGTCTGCCCGCGACATCCTGACCCCCTGGCTGTGCGTTTTCGTTTTCGATTTGGTGTTTCCTGTACTCGTTTGGCTTGTGTTCGCGATCGCGTCTTCTCACTGAGCGTTTCCTGAACAGCAGCAAAGGTCCGACTTTCTGAACAATGGCCACCCGGACATTCAGCCCAGAATCCGAAAGGATGCTTATCGAAATCTACTGCTCCCTACTTGAATCGACTGATAAAATGATGATGACGCGAGCAGCGAAAGAAGACAAAGCAACAAAACGGCTGAGCGGCCAAAAGGATTTGGGAAATCGAACGAGGCACTCCAAACCCTGTAGATTGTGAGCCGATTGCCCTGTCCGGACCCAGTTGCCCAAGGCCACGGAAACGAACAGCAAAAATAGAGCAAAGCTACGCAGCTTTGTCAAATCCTTGGTCCCAGAAATCCAGTCAAGAACGCCAAAGCAACAAAGTCGTCAACAAGTTACGGTCAATTGAATGCCATAATTATGAAATTGATGGGGAGTCTTCCCCCTTAATAGTAACTAGGAAAATGAAATCTCACCAAAGCATCCCGCCGTTCCATTGAAGCAATTGCATACATATCCAGGTTGAGCGTTAGTACATTTCTCAGAGCAGTTATGATCTCCAGTTATGCATTCATCGATGTCTGTGCAAATGATATAATAGAAAGACATGTGACACACCGTTTCCAGCGGGTTAAACACCTCGTCAAATCCAGACGTCAGCGCAAGTCTGCGCCACGTATGGAGGTGCAGAACAAACGCTGCGAACCATCGGTTTCAAGTTTTCAAGATACCAAGTAATCCGAGCCGCACTGGAACTGATCGTCAGGTCATTGAACGTCACTTTAAAACTACAGTCAATGTAGTGTTAACTGTTACACATCATGACTCATCACTATCAAGCTCACAATTGCCAGTGTTTGACAAAATCTGGTTACTTTTAAACCGTTCGTATGCTAGTTCGGCGTTAACTAATTATAGAAAAGCACTTACCAGGGCAAGTTGGTAGCGTACTCCAGATACCTGCAGCCATACACTGCACGTTGTTTGGGCCAGTTATACCGCTGTAGGGCTCACGACATTTTGTAACAGCAGAGCTTCCAATTGGTGTTCTAGGCAGGTAGGTGATCGTGGAGTGGTTCACAGATGCGCAGTGCGTCACTGTATGTAAAGTTTGAAAGTGGAAAACACAAGAATCCCTCTTGTACAAAAGATAAACAGATAACTACTGACCGGTTCGGTCAAGTACAGCTCAAGTGCAAGCAAAGAATACTTTCTACTCTTATATGTTTGGCACGGTGTGCCTAATTCTCTGAGCACTAGAAAAGCCACAGGCTCTGCCGGAGATTCTACTCAATTTATTATGTTGCTCAGCTGGGTTTCGAGGTGTTTTGCTATCATGACGCCAGCCCCGGGTGACCCGCAATTTTCGTAGTTACTATTATTTGGGAAAATGACTAGAGAACCTCAGTTCACTTAATCTACCACCCAGCACATTGTCATTCTCTCGGTTTTTTCAAGATCCATGTAACCCCTTCTACATGATACGACCTAGCTCGTTATCGACCTATCCTTTACGTCTCTCGTGCTCTTCACTGGCACATCAGTGTCGTCCTCTTCCGCCACAGAGTTGTTGGTGCTGATGCTGTTGCCAATCTTCCGTTTTCCCGCCTACCATCTACTTATTTGTATTGTCTTAGTTCGCTACCACACACTCTGCTGATATTGACCGGTTTTTCTATAGAGTCTTGAGGTGTAGCAATTTGTGACATTGCTCAAAGTTTTCTGTATCGTGATAACGCCGAAACAACACCGCTGATAACAAAAGGTTTAAATGTTTTTAAAAGGAATAAGATAAATGTACACGCGATCATTCACAGACACAGAGCAACGCGACAACATATTTTAGCCCTTTCAATATTTCAATAATATCTACCATCAGAAAAGGTTTACCACAATGAAAGCAAACAAGGGGACTGAGTTGTGAAAAAAATGTCATTAAATTTAACAACACAGCAGTGATGGAAGATTCAATCACATATTGAAAGAAGGTGTAAAGGTAGGGAGTCTGAAAAGTTGACACTACAATGTCTTGCTAACTTTTTAACTCTCTACGTTTTCACCCTGACACCTTGGTTTAATATAATTATATGTGAGGGAATTTCAACTCAGTTCTGTGCTTTTTCTTTGAATTTCTCCCCTTTTCTGAATGTAAATCGGGTTATCGGGTCACTTTCATTATTTCAGAAATCTGTAGAGGTGGGAAGGACTGTTGGGGGGGGGGGGGGGGGGGTTCCGCATCCGCCGCATACAACATTAATGAAGTGTATACAGTACAGGCTCTTCCGTCACGAAGAACTCGAGGAGGCAACAGTAACCTGCTTATCGTCCCTGCAGCTGCTTCTGCACATTCTACCAAATTGGTAGCACATGCTGGCGCAGTTCTCCGGAATTCCCTCCATGTGGATATCCGACGCGTCACCAAACTGGCCGCCTTCAAGTCAAGCCCTTTGCAACACATTCTTGCCTGCTTTTAGCTTTACGCCCATGTTTCTGTAGCTGTGCTAGAACTGCTCTATTTCGCCGCCACTATTTTACCATTAGCCATGTCTCCCCCTCCTCCACCCTACACAGTGGGTCCACTTTTATTAGGCATCTGACTGTTTTGGTTTCTCCACTATAAATAGAATACTACTACTACTACTACTACTACTACTACTACTACTACTACTACTACTACTACTACAGGGAAGAGATTGAATCAGAAAAACAGGGAGCCGGAAGAGGAAGAGTACACGAAGGCGTTCAGACTAACATGTGTATCATACATACCAACACACGTCGGGAGAACTGTCCAAAATCCGTTTGCCAAACACGTGACCTGCTGCACTCCATTGGTTAGATTGTATGGAGGAATGCACTGCACATTCACAATGCTACCTCTCTTGCTAGGTGTTGATGACGTCACATTCACATTCAGGTTGAGAGTGTGTAGTGCGCTACAGCGTGGTGCTGCAGAATTAGAATGATAGTGAAAAAAGTGGAAGCAGAGTTTTCACATTATCGTTATAACAACCATATCCCATTCCGCTTGGCAGCCTACACTAGTACATGACACGTGTTTTTTATTATTATTTTCTTTTCTTTGTTTTACTTCACAAAATCCAAACGGGGGCTTCATTTTCAGCTGAGAATGCACTCAGTGTGCTGACAGTGCTCAACACCGCGGAAGCAGAGCGTAATACCGAGCATCCAGTGCAATTAAGAGAGCATGTCTGAGAAAACCAGAACATATGTGCAAGTCGATCTCTCAGATTTTGCTCAAATTTTGCAGGTAGGTTTGCTTTGGGGTGTAGATCGACATTCCAAAGCCCGCACAAAATCTTTTGAAGGGAACCATGAAATTGGTATACCCCTCAATATTGGCCCAATATTGGCACGATTTATGGGTCTACAAACGAGCCACGGCACAGCGTGCAAGAACAAGCTACGAACAAAACTCCATCAAGCCATCATTACCTCACCTTAGAAGAGTTCTTGGGGCAGCACTACTTAGCCATGCCAGCATCCCAGAAGACGAGGGAAATCATCCCTTGACGCCACAAATGATCGTCTTGAAAATAGCCAAATTACAAGCGCTGATAAAACAGCGAGCTACGTCCTCAATTAGCAAACACTATACACCGGCAGATAGTAGAACACCTCTTCTAGCACTGAGAACATGTCCCCCATCATCCTTTGGGAGTTTTCTTGAAATAAACAATTTTGAATTTTTCCACTCGACCATTCTGAAATACGTCCAAACTCATACCTGCGCAGGAAAGCTCGCCCCTCCGCGACGTCTAGTCAGCAATTTCTACTCCAACACCACTCCCAACGCTGCAGAACAAAGTGTATTGTTGACTCTGACAAGGAAAAGCAGCGGTGACCACTTGTCACTCCAAACGACAAGCTTCTCCTTGCGCCACGAACATTTTTCGTTGCAACAGTTGATGCAAAAGTGACTGAATTTTTGCGTGTAGTTTTTGGATTTTACTCCAAGAGGAATGAAGAAATCACGTGGATCCTGACATAGACTAATGCTTTCTGGTACACGACACAATGCACACGATCACGATCGTTCCTGAGGCGCTATTCGAAACGTACCATGAGGGAGGAGGTAAGATGCATTATATTTCTTGCATGCTCTGCTCAGAACATGCAGAAACTATCGTTATAACGCTAGCAGTATTGCATTGGCAAGAATTCTTGGAGATATTTCCTCTTGCAGTAAGAACAGGGATGCATTTTTTCACACTAACCTCGCTCATCCCGAACATGGTTCAACAGGAACTACGGCTGGTTTACATGCTGATGATCCACGTAGATCTGCAACAGCAAGGAATGAGCGTGGTCCATGCCATCAAGGTCGCTTGGAGTTGACCAACGCGCGGCCAACACTGGTTGCATGAAGTATGTGGCACGCCCACATGGCAGATTTCTTACGTCATGAACAACGTGATTTGACCCTACTCGCCATAGTCTCTGTGCTACATGTTGAGGGAAAGTCCCAGCTGGAAGGCCTACAACACGACATGCGTGCTCTTGAGCTGGACATCAAGATGCACTTGATCCGATCTAGATCAACGGGTGATCCATGTAAGTGCAGGAGCGCTTGATCAACGTGACTCGGAACAACTGCTGAACCGTGATCTACGAGACCTGGCATTCTTGTGTCACGAGGCACATGATTTCATCATTCCTCTTGCAGTAAAATCCAAAACTACACGCAAAAATTCAGTCACTTTTGCTTCAACTGTTGCAACGAAAAATGTTGGTGGCGCAAGGAGAAGCTTGTCGTTTGGAGTGACAAGTGATCACCGCTGCTTTTCCTTGTCAGAGTCAACAATACACTTTGTTCTGCAGCGTTGGGAGTGGTGTTGGAGTAGAAATTGCTGACTAGACGTCGCGGAGGGACGAGCTTTCCTGCGCAGGTATGAGTTTGGACGTATTTCAGAATGGTCGAGTGGAAAAATTCAAAATTGTTTATTTCAAGAAAACCCCAAAAGGATGATGGGGGACATGTCCTCAGTGCTAGAAGAGGTGTTCTACTATCTGCCGGTGTATAGTGTTTGCTAATTGAGGACGTAGCTCTCTGTTTTATCAGCGCTTGTAATTTGGCTATTTTCAACACGATCATTTGTGGCGTCAAGGGATGATTTCCCTCGTCTTCTGGGATGTTGGCGTGGCTAAGTGGTGCTGCCCCAAGAACTCGTCTAAGGTGAGGTAATGATGGCTTGATGGAGTTTTGTTCGTAGCTTGTTCTTGTACGCTGTGCCGTGGCTCGTTTGTAGACCCATAAATCGTGCCAATATTGGGCCAATATTGAGGGGTTTGCCAACTTCATGGTTCCCTTCAAAAGATTTTGTGCGGGCTTTGGAATATCGATGTACACCCCAAAGCAAACCTACCTGCAAAATTTGAGCGAAATCTGAGAGATCGACTTGCACATATGTTCTGGTTTTCTCAGACATGCTCTCTTAAAAAGGCATTTTTGACGCTACTTAAAAAGTGTGATTGCCTTTGTTGTTCAATGCTTCATTTTCAAAAATAGTTCTCTTATTTGCAGTGCGGTTGACGTAATGAAGTTGGGTGCTGCTACCCTCCCCTATAGCCCGTCAAAGAACTTTCGTCCTCGTTATTCTAGTGAGAAATTCTGGAGTATGCGTACCTTGAATAGTGACAGAAACAGTCGTAGATACTGCCTGGGAGGAATTTAAGCACCTTTGAATCACATCGTGAGGTCGTGCAGGAATTGAGCCCGCTGCAACACAGTCGAAGTTTGTAGTATACCAGGTCTTACAGGTTACGTTGAAGGCAACACCGGACGTATCACGCTCTGTTATTACGAACTGTGTGTCGTTCAGCTTGAAGCTGAATGTCGAATGTACCATATTCGTCGATGTCATTGTCCGAATCAGCTCAGAATCCGGAGATAGTGTTGTGTTCCAAGATAATTTGAGAGGGAAATTGCCACTTGACATGCATGATATGGTGTGATTGTCATCCATGTAAACTAGTGGCAGTGACGTAGGGAACGACGACCGAATCTGTCGAGCTACAAAAGGGGGCAAGAGAACAGCAATGGTGTTATTCTTTCATTCCACGAATTGGTGATGCCAATAAGGACGATTGATAAGTGTAATAGAACCGATACTAGTCAGAAACAACTAGATGGAAATTACCCGGGGAGGCAAGAAGCAATGTATCATGCAAAACAAGTGGGGTGATCGAGATAGTAACTGTTAAGGACACGTAAGAGATATCAGAAACCAGGGGTGGGGGGGGGGGTAGGGGTGTGGGTGGGGGGGGGGGGGTGTGCACCGAGCAGGAACAGGTACTGCTCAAAGGAAGATTGGATGCATTGTTTCGGAAAGTATTTCTACCATGCTGGGTTGTGATGTCGATAGGGAGTGAGTTGTAGAGGGTGAAGGCAACGTTGATGCGCTATGCACGGTATCATTAAAAAGCTGCCCTTGATGGACAACATGAGTAACATCTCAAACTTAACCTTACCCACAACATTGAGCTGGTACACCTGTGGTGAGTAATGGGCGTCGGTTCGGCAATGGTACAGTCCAGTGTATGATGGGTCCAGTGAGGGGTGTACTGTGGTGTTCAAAGGGGCTCTGCCAAATCCGGTGAACGAACCGGTCACACCCAGCACCAGGCTACCATCAGTCTTCTCTAGTCGAATGAACGGTGCCGATCCACTGGTCACAATACACACCGGCAAGTAGCTGAGAACGCCAGCGGTAGTCTGCCCATCGCCAAATGTCATTCTGAATGGCGCTGCTTGCCCTGTACCAGCAGCAATGAGAACGGGATATTGACCTGCACGGGCGTAGACAAGATTGCAGTGGAACAATGCCAACACAGTTCTAGTTGTAAATGGCATAAGTTGATCCCGGCACATTCTTCGAGAAAGTATCCATTGTATACTCAAGCACAGTTGTGTCCGTTTCCTATTCGATATTCCCTGAGTGGCGCGGCGGTCGTGAAGGAGGGGGGGGGGGGCATATTTCTAACTGCAATTGCTTGAGGACATCAAAAAGTCTCGGGACTCCGCTTGCCTGGTCACGGACAATGTAGCTTAGAGTGCGTGCGCAGTCAGGAGCATCTTTCCCACAATGATTAAACAATAGTATGAGATAGTGGTTGCGAAGAGCATCACTGAAGTCATGTTCTTCGGGCACATTTTGCCTCATCCTTACTAAAGCTCAACTGATGAGGGGTGTATTCCCCGAAACACTGTGTATTGAGCAGGGAGTGGTGCTTTCTTGCAGGTTTGCCGAGTCGAAGGTTCGACGGACTTCTCGTGTGCTCTGGATGGCAGTCGTGAGTCAGTCAAGTGTCAAGTAAAGTCGGCGGAATAGAGCGAGCGCCGGTGTGGGGAACAAACCCTTTCCTATCAAGCAACACACACCAGCCATGGTACAAAGGAGGCACGACACAAAGTTCATTTCTCTAACGCTAGAGTGCCCTTACTATGAAAGTAGCGGACAATTCGTAAGGAAGCAGCACTAGAGCAGCGTACCGAGAGAGCTCAACAAGACGAATGTCGAGGAGCATTCATATTATATAGATTCACTGCGTTACTCGGCCAAACACAAAGTCATTATAACACAACATTCTCCATCAGAAGGAATTGCTCTCAATTTCAATTACCTGTCACAACATGGATCTCCAATAACACAAATACCGCTATGTGCCAACACGCTGTACAGAACAGAACCGAAAATATAATAGATCCAATGACCACAGTGAATACACAAACACATTATTATACACACAGCAAACATGTAACTCATGTTAGAATAATAGAATATGTGAAGCATTACAGGTCTTCATGCCGTATTTAACACACAAACTTTTCAAATGTAGCGCGATGGTTATCTCCCTCAAATCTTTACCCACATAGCACCTGACTTAGTCATTTTGATTTTTTCATTAAAAGCGCCAAGGACCTCACTGTCCCCTCGAAGTAATCAGAAGTCAGTAGATCTCGCCTGACCTTTCCAGTAGCCTTGGCCTAAAACGCACTGCCATGGAATGTAAGGGAGAACAAGGCTGCTCAGATATTTATCCTTGCCTCCACCCTCTGCACCTTGCAATGAATGCTCCGTATGACTTTGCCTGTCTACCCACTCCGTCATGTGTTCCTCTCTGCGTGCTTGTGCACCAATGAACTCTTCGTGTTGCCGCTGTTGACCTGCTAAATCGCTTCTCATATCTCCCATGCTAAATTATTCAGCAGTTTGTTCTTCGCTGCTACCCCCAACCACGCGTTGAAGCACTCACCACGCACCACTGATTCATCTCCCCGATGCACCTAACATCACTGTTTCACTCTCCGTATTTCTACCTATCCTTCTCTATCCTTCGCCTTGTTTTTTCTCTCTCTGTGTCTGCCTGTCTATCTTTCTCTCTGTCTCTGTCTCTCTGTCTCTCTCTGTCTCTCTCTGTCTCTCTCTCGGTCTCTCTGTCTCTCTCTCTCTGTCTCTCTCTCTGTCTCTCTGTCTCTCTGTCTCTCTGTCTCTGTCTCTGTCTTTTTCTCTTTTTCCTTCTTTCTCGCCCTCTCCCTGTCTAACTTTCTCGCTGCTCTCTGCCCGTATATCAAAAATCAACAGCAACAAGAGCCCATGAAAAGAAGGGAACACGAACGCTCGGTTCGGAAATTATCTCATTGTTCCTTCGGACAGGTGTGAATTGCGGATGCATGTACTTCATTGAAGAAGTACGGTTCAGGGTATGATAATTATTATGTTTTGCACAATGGGCAATCGGCCTACTCACGATACAAGGGGATCAATCTAGGGTCGAAATCCTGTAAACAGTGGAGTAGTGTGCCACCCGCAGTATGATGTACTGCATACATGTGAAGTCGTATCTGCAGCTAGGCCAGATAATAATTGTAGCAATCCCGAAAATTCGTCTGACTTCTAAGGCTGCGTTCACACGACAACGATTGACAACCAAATCGTTGAGTTTACTACTGTCGTTTACACGACAATGCCCGAAAATGAACACACTTCAAAGTGTTTTGAAACGTTTTCAAAACGTTTTGGTTTTCGTGTAAACGGTGAAAACAGTGAAAACGATTGGAAACGGAGCGCGGTCATGGAAACCATTCTGCGGGGGGACTTTACCCAACCCTTGCTCCGGCCAGCACTTGCCAACTCCAACTAACGTGTTATTTCCCGCGCTTGCGACAAGCCAGCAGGTGCTAACTCCAGCCTTATCGACCGTTTTCTGTTTTCGTGTGAACGGTTCAAAACGATTTGCCGTAAACGGTTTGAAAGGATTCGAGGCCAGCGCGTTCTCGTTTAGCTTCGTTTCGTCTCCGTGTAAACGCAGTCTAAAATTATGATGAATGCAAAAGGTCCACGCAGCGATGCCTGACCTACCTTAACTGAAGGGCGGGGGGGGGGGGAGATGCGCTCTCCATACGCACAAGCCATTCAATGCACTTCATTAAGTTCAGCCATGCCTTCTTTGATTCTGGGTGGGAATGCAATGCACAAGGTCATTTTTCATATTTTTCAAGAACCACTAAATAGCAGCGTCAGTGTGCGTGGCTCGCGGATATGCAGCACATGTGTTCTAGACCGTTGTTCGTTTCCAATCTTGTCAACTCCAAAAACACGTGTTCCTACCTACACTCCTGGCACTTTGCCATGTGAGCGCATCGCTCAGGAGGTCGGATTTCAGTTGCCAGCACTGTAGCCTATGTAGGTGACTCACACTACTACATTGTATCTTGATGTCACTGGGTATTTGTAGGGCAGGAAGCGGACTGTCTCGGTCAATATAAGTTACCCTGGTAGTATCTTTCCGGTGGTTATACGGACTGAAGAGCACGTCATGTAGAAACGTGGTGCCCTTCGCGCCAAATCTTCCCCGGCCTGCTCCAGCGCAACTGGTGAGCCATGAATTCCCGTAAACATTGGGCACTGAGCGTGCAGTTGTTTGTTCTTGCACGCCTGGGATGTGGAGGGCTTGTTGACTGAGCGTGCAGTTGTATGTTCTTGCACGCCTGGGACGTGGAGGGCTTATCGACTTCCCGTGTGATCCTAATGGCAGTCAGGAAGCAGTCAAGGATCAAATCAAGTTTGCGATCCAAGTTCATCATTATTTTTCGTCCGTGTCATAATTATTTTTATAGTAATGCGGGGTTCGATTGTAACTTGTCAGATAAGAGAGCTGGCTTGGGGAGGGCTTGTGTATTTGCCGCCATGTTACAAACCTTGAACGATTGGGACGATCATCTCTCTATGCGGATGACACGACCCTCTACCAGTGCCTGTCTGCCCCCTCCGAAATCGCCGACTTCACATGCAGCTCCAAGCCACCTTGGACAGCGTGCCTGAGTGGGACGCAGACTGGAGAGTAACGTGTGAGCCACCCAAGTCTCTGGCAATGACCATTGACCTCGTCTACACTTCATACATACGTGCCTATTTCCACATAAGCACCAGACTGTCCGCAGATTAAGCACCAGATATATAGACCTGCTCGTACACTAATCATGATTGGTCAAATTTTGATCCCGCGCTTCAATGTGATTGGTCAAGTGTTTTGCCTGATCCGACTAGAGACTAGAGAAGTCAGAAGCTGCTACGGGGTCTAGGTGATCCTCACAGCTCATGGCGAGTTTTCAATCTTGCACTCGTACAGTCCTACACTGTGCTGTACTATCGATCTCAAACTGGAATTTGCCAAAAATGAGTTTGGCAACGAGGGCGGCGATGGCCACAAAAAAACGAAGTTGAATGTCACCGTAGGTATAAATCGAATACACTGTATTACCTTCAGCTTCGTGTGTATGGTTTGATATTCACCACGTATACAAACCTCGGGGTACTCAATTCGGCTTCATGTAATATTACTTCAATTATACATGTATACATATTATGCAGTGGTGGATCCACGATCTCAAGGAATGTGTGTATGCCGGGTGCCGTGTGCGAATTTTCGCAGACCATTATCAGAATTAAAAATAATAATAATAATAATATTTTTACCGAGTCCACGACTTGGGTGAATGAAGTTGAAGACACCACTGCAGCTGTACTTATGGTTCATAAATATGGTGGTAAAGACACACCTGGCAATATGGTGGTAAACACACGCCCGCCCACACACGCTCTGTAAGCTGTGGGCGGCCGTGTGTTTGCTGCCATATTGCCAGGTGTGTCTTTACCACCATATTCATTTTTACAGAGTCCACGACTTGTTCGGTTTGCTCTACACTAGCCAAAATGAAGAATTTTATCTTACATGTTGTGCTCACTTGAAAAATGCAGCTGCAGCATGTGTAGCGGCCGTTTGCTTATGTTTGTAACCCCACCATTCCCTGAAGGAGATTGCAGCACTCGTCCCTCCTGTTCCCACGTCTGGCTTCACTGCTGTTATGCTCTTTTCTCAAAGAAACTTACAGATACAGCACTTAATGGTGAGGAGGGGGGGGGGGGGTTAGGGTGAACTATGGGCACGGGTGCGGGACGCTCACTAAGGCGTATTTGCCTACATCATGTACATGCAGCCAGTGTGCTAGGCCACACGTTCCCAGTTTTCTGTGCTGAGCAGAACGGCTGGAAACCTGACCCATTGAAGGACTGGAACAAGGTACCATTCCCTTCTGAATCGCGGTCGTAGACCAACCTACTCTTCAAGTTTGGTAATTCAATTAAACTTACCTCTAAAATCCACTCGCAGCACACTGGCACTCCTGCTGAATGCCATCGTTGTAATTGGCATTCGCCCAATCTGATACTTTTCTTGAAATGTACTCTTACCCCCAATGCCCGCCAATTTGTGTTATAATTATAAAATCGCTTCCTTGGTTTGCGCTGTGCTCCAGTACTCCCTGCATTCATCAGCTATTTCACAGCACAGTCAGTGACACCTCAAGTGTAATTAGTGTCAAGCAGAGAGTCATGCATGCTGAATGTGCCCCTAGGCTTGTCAAACAAAGCTGGTGAACTTGAAGCCTTCACCAGTGACTGAAGGCAATGAGAGAAGAATGATAATTATATTTCCTTCTACCCGTGTGTGCAGGTCCGAAAACCTTTTATGTTCTCTAATTGCGCGGAGTGACTCTAATCTTGATTCAGGGAATTCAATCTTGTTTTACAGACACAGAAAGCATGAAATCGGCCTTATTGCAAGACATGCACGTGCAGATAAGTTAACGCGTTGTAGTGTACTGTATGAATCAAAACGAATCACCTATATTAATTTGTGTACATGGCACAAGTCACTAAACACTTGGTATCTCCGTGGGTGTGATAATTAATTTGAAGGCGCTACAAATATGCGCAGGTATTTGCTTTAAAGGTATGGATCAAAATAATGACAATCGTACTGCTGAAAAGTTGTAAAAGTGATTAAACAAGGGTAAACAGCACCATTCGCCCTTGAACAATACCTTCCTTCGCCAAGGAAAGTTTTAACCTCGAAACAAGTGTACGGAGGAGCTGACTACCGCTGACGTGTCTCTTTACTGATGGTATTCTGTGGCAATTTGTCGAAGTCGGCAGGAGAGTCCAGTTGGGTTGGTTTGGCTGATGGAACAAAAATGTGAACACGGAGAGTAGAAGCAACTCGCACGGTGTCAGGGCCCAGCAGAGCCCAGCTGGTGTGACCACATGACATGCACCTGTTACTTGTTAGCCTTTCTGTCAACTTATGCACGCACGTACATTGTATCTGTACACCAAAACGTGACTGTTAACTACCGGTGTGATGCACTTTAGACGCCCTGGCTGAGAAGTTACCTATGACCACTGTTTGTCCGGTCCTGCTTGCCCTGCTTCCCGGTACTACTACTACTAGTGTATGTGTGTGTGTGTGTGTGTGTGTGTGTGTGTGTGTGTGTGTATTGTAAGGATTTGAAGTCGTCCAGAAAACGTTGCATCACACACAGCGGTATGCATTGATTCCCTTGACGTCTCGTGCTGGGGGAAAACCCACTATTATCTTGAGATTCATTCAGTACCCGTAATCTACTGACAAAGAGTGAGTTTACTAGGATGGCCACACCCATTCCCAGGGCACGAGTGAGCTCTAGGCAAGGGCGGGTAATGCTAGCATTATGGCTGGCATTATAGTCCCTTTTTTCCAAGTGGCATAATGCTGGCATTATAACACCATTTCGCATGCAAAATTGGCATTACAAGCATAATTGCCGGTCGACAACGGTGTCATGCATGAAGCTGGCTAGGTCCAGTTCCGAACATCGTGCATCTGAACCTGTCCGGCGTCGTCCGGAGACTTGACGTTGCAAAACAACCTTCTCAGTGGATAGTTTCAGACGACATGCTCACTGCTGTTGAAGTTTATTCTTCTTCTACGCTTTGGCCTCAATCAAAACGGCCTTCTTAAATCGCAGGCTGTCCAACCGTCCTGCTTTCAGCAGGACAGTCCTGCTTTGGACCCAAACACGTGTATACATTTACATGGGAGAGAATTGCCTTTGTAAACATTGAATATGGGTGTCCTGCTTTGAAATGGTGGCAAGGTTGGACAGACTGAAATCGACTTTTCCAACTTTCGAACTCCATGGCATTATGGAGTAGTGTGAGCATTATAAGTGGCATTATATCCTGATGAGCATTGCCTTTAGCATTATCGCAGGAAATTACGAGAGAGCTTGGAAGCTCAGGGCCCTGCGCTATGCTTTGTTGCCTAGCTTATCGTGTATGTTGTTAGAACTGATGGAAATGCTTTTTCCTTTGATTAGCTACATCATTGTATTGCAAAAACGTTTCAATGAGATACTGAAGTAACGTCTTCTGCATAGCTATGGGACCGGCGCTAACTCTGCCGATCACGGGCGTTCTGGAGTCGACGGGATGTCTGTCCTGACGTTTCCTGGGGCCGGCGCTGACTCTGCCGATCACGGGCGTTCTTCTTCGTCTTATTATTATTATTATTATTATACTGACGGCAACTAACATCCATTCTGATTGCATTTACTCGTCTTCCTACTTCGTATTTCTTTCCAGAAAATCTCGCCATACAGCAGGGAGTCGTTTAAATAATATGACTCCCTGCTATACATCTACATGACTGTATATACGTTATAATTATTGTGCTATCGGCCTACATGCGATTCCCGGGCTGGTCGACAGGCGGCTCAGCCAGCCTGCTAGTGGGATCTCGGCCTTGCACACAAATCCACACAAAATGTTACGGCACTGAATGCATTCCCCCGATACACTTCACTCATTCTCTTGATGGTACCGTACTCTTGATGGTACGGGACAGGTACGGGATAGCGCCAGGCATGTCGATGGCACAAACAAACAAAAATATTGTGGCCAGCTGTCTTTGCTGGTACGGTACAGTACGGGACAGATACGGGATAGCGCCAGGCGTGACACAAACAAACAAACAAACAAACAAACAAACACCAAATTAAAGCTGTGTGGACCCTGGCTAGCGCCAGACGTTACTGAAGTAACGTCTTCTACATAGCTACGGGAACTAGCATTACCCGCACATGCCTTGTGAGCTCCCGTAATAATTTCGAGTCGAGCAACAAGGACGTGCTGTGTTCCTGAAAGTTTGACGAATTGAACGCGCTCCCGACGTGATCCAGCTGTTCTGATGTACTGTGCACGTGTGCCACTCATGAATCCATGCAACAAGGACTCCAGACACTTTGTCCATATTTTCCCTGTATTCACCCTATACACACACACACAACAGAGGCGAAAAGCTGTAGAGCTATAACTTTGTGTTTCTTGCATTTTCTGCGATCACCAGACAGCAGCATTTTACTATTGAATCCTCTACGAGCAGGTCTAGATATTTGGTGCTAGTGTGCACGTTATTGCGCGTATGTGTGAAGTGTAGGCATGGTGATGTGAATAGAGGCGATAACGGTGCGTTGTGGCCATCATCGGAGGCATGAGTTGTTTTCTCAACATGGCGCCACCTGTGTACCAGGTTTGGCAACGTGGGGCTTTCCCTCTCCCTCTTCCCGCCTGTTATGTTCCAGGGTAATGTAGCTATCGCCCTTGATGACTCTGTAACACTGCCCTTCTTTGTCTTTATGGAGGAAATCAAAACAGGCAAACTGCCTACTTTATAATATTGGACCCACTGTGAATAATAATATGTATTTAAAGGATATTGTGGATAAGTAGAGATAGGAGAAAAAGAGAAAGAAAAAACGGAAGGTTGGTTGTAACGAACAGATTGATATAAATCCAGTGAGCTTAGGAAAGCCTATGTCGCTGATATATATATGTATACCGCAAGGCTTGAGATTTGAAATCCGAATACCTATTTGAAAATGTTGTTGCTGGTGTCAATCTACCCTGGTATCGCCTCTATTCTCACCTACTAGTATGTCTGTTAACTCTCACAAACGAAACAATAGAACTATCTCAATGCCTCGTCTACACTTCATACATACCTGCTTATTTTCACATAAGCACCAGATAAGCACCAGATATAAAGACCTGCTCGCGCACAAATCAGCTGGTGTGACCACATGACATGCACCTGTTACTTGTTAGCCTTTCTGTCAACTTATGCACGCACGTACATTGTATCTGTACACCAAAACGAGACTGTTAACTACCGGTGTGAAAAGTTCACTGAAAACGAAACAATAGAGCTATCTCAATGCCTCGTCTACACTTCATACATACCTGCTTATTTTCACATAAGCACCAGATAAGCACCAGATATAAAGACCTGCTCGCGCACAAATCAGCTGGTGTGACCACATGACATGCACCTGTTACTTGTTAGCCTTTCTGTCAACTTATGCACGCACGCACATTGTATCTGTACACCAAAACGAGACTGTTAACTACCGGTGTGATGCACTTTAGACGCCCTAGCGGAGAAGTCGCCTATGACCACTGTTTGTCTGGCCCTGCTTGCCCTGCTTCCCAGTATTACTACTAGCGTGTGTGTGTGTGTGTGTGTGTGTATTGTAAGGATTTGAAGTCGTCCAGAAAACGTTGCATCACACACAGCGATAGGCCTTGATTCTCTTGACGTCTCGTCCTGGGGGAAAACCCATTATTATCTTGAAATTCATTCAGTACCCGTAATCTACAGACAAATAGTGAGTTTACTAGGGTGGACACACCCATTCCCAGAGCAGGAGTGAGCTCCTGAAAAAACTGCGAGTCGAGCAACAAGGAGGTGCTGTGTTCCTGAAAGTTTGAGGATTAATTGGACGCGCTCCCAACGTGCTCCGAGCCAAGTGTTCTCATGTACGGTGCACGAGTGCCACACGTGTGCCACAGTGAGCAGGTTGCGTGTTTGCCGGCACGGCTCTGGAACGAATGAGGTTACAGCTCGCCCTCTGACTCTGAGTCTTCCATCGATTCATCGTCAGCAGCCAGATGAATCGAGTTCACCAAGACTTCACGGAGTGTCTAGACTTCTCCCAGCGACGTTCTTTCGGGAGCCGGGATGATGGCTTCAGCATCATCCGAAAGTGGCATGGAACAAGGCTTCATTTTCGTACATTTCCGTGTCGTATTAATCAAGACCCCGTTTGACCATAGTAGCCTCCGCTGGCGCCTGTCTCGTAGAACTATTCACGAAACATATAAACTTAAATAAAGGGGAAGAGTGTCGCCGAAGTCCCACCAACATCTTCGAAACATATAAATATATGAATATAAAATGATAATAAATAAACTAGCAGAAGTAGGCAATTTGAAGGCTGGACATTGGGCTACAAGTGGGTTTACCTCTACCTATTTGGCGTTCTCCTTTCGTATTACGTACATGTAGACCTACCCATCT